TGAAGACCACCCCTACTCGGGAAAGCCCCCCCACGCCCCCCAACCAAATCACCTCCTTGAAGGGGGGTAGTTCAACAGAACGACTCAGGCAAGTTCACCCCGGAAGCCTCCCATGAAAAGCTGGACGGTGGAGTCTCAGTTCAGAATGGGTTCTCTTGGAAAGGGGGTGAGGGTGGGCAGGAGCTGAACACATTTGCAAACTGCAAGCCTTTTCTGGGGCGGGGCGGGGGGGGGGTCTCTGCTGCTGTTATGCCAGGCTCCGGGGGGGCCACCGTGACATCAGGAGTCAGGCCTCACCTCAGAAGCACCAGCCTGATGGCCAGGGCAAAACCTTTGATCTGGCCCTGGGGTGGGGGCTGGGGGTGGCAGAGCCCAGCCAGCTGTCTCAGAAGTGACTTTCCACTGTGCAGGTAATTGCACCCATTTGTGGGTTATAAAAAAAAAGCACAATATGAGACTAAAAGACCCAAGGACAGTAGAAACAAGGAAGATTGGTCCATGGTTGGAAGCCTGCGTCAAGGGCTGGGGGAGAAGGCAGTTGGGTTAGAGAAGGGACCACTATGACAAAGAGAGTTGAAAGTGATTGCTCTGGATGAGAGATGCATGCTGAAAGATGGGAGATGCATGCATGAGAGACCATCAAACATGAAGGCCTCTCATCAGTATCTATATTGCAAACCATAAATGCCTAAAAGGAGAGACACACACAGAGAGAGAGAGAGAGAGAGAGAGAGAGACAGAGAGACAGAGAGACAGAGAGACAGAGAGAGACAGAGAGACAGAGACAGAGAGACAGAGACAGACAGAGAGAGAAACAGTTTCCTGTCTGAGTATGCGGGTATGGGGGGAGTTGGTTGTGTTTGAGGTGGGAGGGGTACTGATGGAATACAGACATTCATTAGTGGTGGGAAAATGTACACTGGTGGAGGGCTGTGTATTGGAACATTGTATCACTGAAACCCAATCATGAACAGATTTGTAACTGTGTATCTCATGGTGATTAAAAAAATAGCTGAGATCTAAGCACATTCAGAGTGTCAGACTGGGTGCTAAAGGCTTTACCAGTACAATCTCATTTAATCCCAGCCTCAAGGGGAGGAACTGTGGTCATGCCCATTTTACAGACTGGGTTGCTGAGGAGAAAGGCTCCCCCACGACCAAGCTCTTTGTTAAGTGGCAGAATCTGGTGTTCCAAACCTGTCACGTGAAATCCATTCATGCACTCATTCATTCATTCACCCACCATGTCTATATTGTATAGTTCAGGCCCTCTTGGACTTGAGGAGCTCCAGAACCTTTTCTCTCCTAAGGTGCTCCAATTTTTTTTATTCATTTATTTTGGTTTAGTCCCTCACTCAGTAGTTCTGGGGGCTATACCTGACTTGGTGTTTGGGGGTTGTACCAGGTGGTATTCAAGGGGTGATGGGAATCCACACCAGGGCCTTTTACTTGTAAGGTAAATGCTCTTCTCCTGAGCCCCACCCTCAGTCCTTTGCTCCAACTGAAACAATTTTTAGGGCCTGCTAGATAGTACAGGCTGGAGCGATAACACAGCAGGTAGGGTGTTTGTCTTTCACGCGGCCAACACGGGTTTGATTCCTCTGTCCCTCTTGGAGAGCCCGGCAAGCTACTAAGAGTATCCCGCCCACACAGCAGAGCCTGGCAAGCTCCCCGTGACGTATTCGATATGCCAAAAACAGTAACAACAAGTCTCACAATGGAGACATAACTGATGCCCGCTCGAGCAAATCAATCAACAATGGGAGGACAGTGCTACAGTGCTACAGATAGTACCAGGGTTAGGCTTGTGCCTTGCATGTGGCTGGTTTCAATCCCTGGGACCTCCTGTGCTCCCCTAAACATCCTGTAGGCACAACCTTTGAGCACAGAGGCAGGAGTAAACCCTGACTACTGCTGGGGTTGGCTCCAATCTTCCAGCCGTCCCCCAATTAATAATGCATTTATTTCTGCTTGTTTAGGTTTGGTGCTAAGGGGTTGCCCCTGGTGAGCTATCTCTCTCTGGCCGCCAGCATCAACGTTTATGAGACAGTGTCCGAACAAGTGATCCTTGCAAAATGGGAGCAGTAACAAGGTCCCCCCAAGTGGGAGTCAGGAGAACTAAGGTGGTCAGAGTGGAAGTGCCTGGAGCTGGGCTAGAAGTGCTATAGTGCTTGTATAAATGTTGGGGACAGGCTTTTTCTCTGATGCTCTTGGTCAAAGGTCCCGTGAGGGAGACTATTGCCTCAGTGTTTATCTTTGTTGTCTGCTTGTCCTCAGCCAAGTCCTAGCAAAGGTGGGCACCTGTGGGCGGGGGTAAGGGTCAGCAGGGGAGGCCCAGGCAGCTACTGCTCAGGCGTCACCCGCCCTTACCGGAAGCCTGGCTGGCTACAGTGGCACTCGGGCCCTGAGGGCTCTTTGGGGCCTTTATGGGGTAATTCCATCTCCATTAGGGCTTATTATGTCACTATAAATACCACCTTTCCTTGCTGCTTTTTAAGACTCACCAAAGAACTTTCCTTCTGTATCCAGTCACCCAGAGCTGGAAGGACTTTGGGTTGGTCGGGAGAGGAAGAAAGGGAAGGGTGTGTCACTGGTGAATGACTAAAACCAGAGAACTGTCCCCACCCCACCTCCTCCTGCCACCTCATACCCCTACCACCAGGCTTCTGCTCACATCACTCCAACACCCAGTTAGGCATCGGGGCGCACTCACTCAGCCCCTGCTGGACACACAACACACCTGCCCAAACTCTGGCTTGTGTGTATGTGGTGTGTGTGTGTGTGTGTGTGTGTGTGTGTGTGTGTGTGAGTGTTTGTGTGTGCAACCTGTCCGGCTACTCAGAGAAAGCTCCCGACATGCCACACAAAGACCAACTAACCCAGGGCTGCTGAGATAGTACAGTGGGGAGGGTCTTGTATGCAGCTGACCCAGGTTTGAATCCCGGCACCCCAGCACCCCATACGGTCCCCAGAACCCCACGAGGAGTGACCCCTGAGTACAGAGTCAGGAGTAAACCTAAAAAAAGCAAAACGACCAAATAAAAGACCAGTCGACCCAGTCACCCAACCCAGGATACTCAAAGACTTAAGCCACGGAGACTTGGGGCAACTTAGAAGTGAGTACGCCCCCATACACGCAAGTGCCATCTTGTAGCCCAGTTTGCTGAAGACAAACAGCCAGTCCTCCAGGAACACATTCACCACCCAGAGCCTGCAAGTGGCATGCAATATTTGTGTATAGCTTTGTACACCACACACACACACACACACACGCACGCACACACACACACACACACACAGGCACATACTCCTGTTGCAGGCCACCAGGCCACCAGCCCTGCCCCTCCCAGAGGCTGCTTCCTGTGGCTACATGGCAGGGAACCCTAATGACAGCTGAGATGAGAGCGTTCCGTTGTTGTCGTGGCCACTGCAGTTGGCATGCAGGCCCTCATTTGCTCCTCACAAGGACCCTCCAAAAGCTTGTAAATCTTCCAGAGGAGCAAACGGAGGCTCTGGGAAGTGAAAGGACTTGTCCAAAATTCCACTGGCTGACTCTGCAGCCCACGACTCTGCCACTGCGAAAGAGGGCACGCTCACATCCATACTCCCCCACACCCCAGCCCCCCTGCATCAAACGCAAACCTCTTTCCTTCCTGCATGTCCTCACACACACGCACATACCCCAACACGTCCACAGACACTCATGCTCGTGGACTCTCGTGTACACACACATTCTCAGAAGACCAAAGCTCTCCTCCCATCATCTTGGTCCAAGGCTTTAATTACACTACCCCAATACCTGTAATTACCCCCCTCCCCCCCTCAGGGGACTCACTTCCCTCAGGCACGCAAGAGCTATTGCCACATCTGGCAGAGAGGATCTGGTACCAGAGTAGCCCCACGTGGCCACTGGAGGGTCCAGAGGAGCCGGGGAGGGGATGGTGTCTGGGAGAGGGGGTGGTCAGTGGAGGCTGGTGTCACTCCGGAAATTCATCCCGCTATAGTTGCTCCTCCTGGACTGGCCCAGTGGTGACTGGGCAATAGACGGCCTTGGGTGGTCAGGGCAGGCAGGCAGGAGGATGGCAGAACCGTAAGCTCATATCTGAGATACGTTTGGGGAGAGGGTCGGAGGCGGCAGGTGGGAAACAGTGTCCACTAAAGGCCCAAACAATTCTGCCAGGCCAGTGTTAGGAATAGGGGCTGTCTCTGCGCTGCACAGTAATCAGTCGCCCGCCCACCCTGCACAGAGCAGTGGTTCCTGAAGACCCAACCCAGGTCCAAATCTCAGCTCTCCAGCCTCCAGGCTGGGCAACCTCAAGGCTTAAGTCCCAAGAGCTTAACTCTTGGGACCTCAGTTCCCTTTTCTGTAAAATCGGGATAATGATCCTTCCTCCCAGATGAGAATAAAACTGTCCTTCCTAGAAATAACTGATCTTGGGTTTTGCTGGTCTCAGAGACCCCCTCACCTGGCACCTCCCTGCAGAGGTGTTCCCCTGCACCTGCCACCTCAGGAGTGCTCTTCAGAAGTTCTAGGAAGAGGGAAATCCGGCCTGTCCTAAAGCCTGCAGCTTAGGAAGCAAGTGCTACTTAGACCCCAGCCCACATGCTTCCAGAACCCAGAACCGAGGGACCGGGTCCTAAGGGCATGGGGACAGTGGGTATGGTTCAGCGATCAACGCCTGGACTGGGGTTCAGAGACAATCCTCCTCCGCCCCCAGAACTAACCCTCGGGGAACTGGAGCTTTGAAGCGCCCACAGGTGGGAGGGTCTGTTGCTCCGGCAAGTCCAGAGGGCCCCGATGGCCCTCCCCTCATCCCGGGGTCCTCCCCTCCTCCTTCCAACCCGGTCCCTTTAAAGAACATTCCTGAAGGCGGGGCTTCGGTGACGTCAGCGCGGGGCATGAATGAACAGGAGCCGGTTCTCACCCAACTTCCATTAAGGACTCGGGCAGGAGGGGTAGAAGTTGTGCGCGAGCTGCGAGCGGGAGCCGGACAGCGAGGCCGGCGCGCGGGCTTGCGGGCAGGCGGCGGGCACCGTGCGAGGATCGGCCACCGGCGAGCGGGAGATCGAGCGCGCGTGGAGCGTGTCATGGAGCGGAGGGCGCCCCGCGCCTGCCTCGCCCTCCTCTGGGGCTGCACGCTGGTGGCGACCGCGGCGGCACAGGGCAAGGAAGGTGAGTGTGTGTGCGGCGGCGGCGGCGGCGGCTGCGGCCCGACCCCCGGAACCCGGGACCCCCGCGCCTTCCGGAGCCCGGCGCACCGTGGCGCGCGTACTTTGGAGACCGACCTGGCATCTCCCGGTCCCGGTGCGCTGGAGTCGGGAGAGCGCGCCGGCTGAGATCGGGGCGAATTTGGAACCCCCATCCCGTCCTCTCCACCACCACCCCCGGCCTGGGACTAGGGGCTCCGAGGACCAAGAGGCTGCGGCCCGGGCTTCCGAGGCTTGGAGGCCGCGGAGAAGGAGACGCGTTGGCCGCCACGCGGTTGCCGACCCGGCGGCGGCCGCAGGAACGCGTCCGGCTGGGGGCGCGTGGAAGGGGGGGAATCCTAGGAGAAGCAGTTGTCGGGGGTGCAGGCGGGGCGAGTGTTTTTGTGGACTCAGCTTGGGGATGATAGACCCTCTTGCCCTGATTTTTGCCGAGAAGGCGTGTCAGCGAGGTGCCCACATTTTTGGGGAGGGGGTCCCTTTGGGATTCTGGCGATCCCTTTGCTCCCAGAGATTGTCTTCACGTCCTCTTTTGCCTCCTGTCTGGGAGGAGAGCGCTGGGGGAGATTGGGGCGAACCTGCGCGTTCGAACCCTCGCTCCTCCCGGGCCCGCACTCCCGAGATTGCGGACAGGTTTGGGGCCGCGAGCGTGGACAGGAAGTCCCAAAGTTTAGCGTTCTGAGCAAGGGGTGACTCAGAACGAGGAAATGCGGCAGGTGGGGGCGCGGCCACCCGAGGTGTGGAGTCGTCACCCCAGGGCCACCCCACCGGGGAGCCCGGGCACCCGGGGGTGGGGGTCTGAATCATTCACCCGCGCCCTGCGCTCCGGGAACCCGGCCGCGAGAGGGGCCTCAGTAGGCTTCGTGCCTGGGTCGGTGTGTGGACGGGGGAGTTGTCCCCGCCGCCAGGGTCACGGAGAGCATGGGGGCTTTAGCCCCTGGCCCAGGACCTTCCTGGCCACCCGCCGACGAGGGCTTCAGTTTCCAACAGTGAGAAACAGATTTCCCCTTTCTCCCGCCGGCCCGCGTGGAGCGATGCTCCCGCGGTCTTCACCCGGGCAAGTGTAGAGGAGACCCTGGAGAAGTTCCCCCAGGAGCCCTGGGTTCTCTTTCCGCCTCCCAGACCGCCGACTGGAGATCTTGCAGTTTCAAATGGGCAGGTCAAGAGGCCCAAGCCCAAGCTGTTGAGGAGAAGGAGGGGGCGGGGAGGGGGGCGCCCATCCTGTCCCGGGTTTCTGCGAGACAGGACTCCAGCTTGCAGGAGGAATGGATGGCAGGGATTTCTACGACCCTCATCTGCCCCTCCGCCCGGGCGCTGCCAACCCACCCCCTCCCCGCTTCGGCCCTCCCCCATCCACTGAGACTGTGGTTGGAGAGAAGGAGAGAGACAGCTGGAACCCGTACAGGCCTTTCTCCAAGGCTGCCCTGCGGGGGAAAAAGGGGGATTAGCCGCGTGCTGACATCCCTGATGCCAGCCTGGAAGCCCAAAGCTGCCTTATTCTGCAGCCCCTGTGTGGGTTCGCCGCCTCCTGGGACAGGGCCCATGGAGTGTGTCTCTCAGAGGCCCTGGGCTGCAGATCTTTTTGCTTAGGCTTCAGGCGCCCCTGTGAAGGACTCCCAGGAGGGTTGGGGTGGGTGGGGGTGGAGGGGAGCTTAGTCGCAGCTGCTGGTTTGTTGTGTTCTGTGGGATTTTGAGGATGTGGTGGATCCTTCCTGGGCGGAGAGAGGGATGCAGGGAGGACCCACAAACCCCTTCCAGCCACAGCCTGTGGGGAGAGAAGCCAGGCTGCCGGTGAAGACCCTCATGGAGCCTGTGAGGTTTTTCACAGTACTGAAGTGCTGGGGAGGGGGGAAAGAGTCCCTGGTCAGTTTTTTTACAGATGGGGAAACTGAGGGAGGCCCGAGCCCTCAGCAGCCAGGGCCGGCTTAGCATCTGGCTCCGTGGGCTGCCAGAGCCCCGGCCCCTGTACTGTGGTTTCACGGCTGATTTTCCTGAGAAGCAAGAAAGCAAGAATAGCTGTGCAGAGGGGGGCAGACTTGAGGGACTCGGGAGGGGGGGTGGCGGTTGGCGGGGGGGGGGGTGCTGGGGAGGCCTGGAACTCTCATTTTTTTGATTCTGTAAGAGGTTCATGTGCCCTGTTTCCTTCAAGACCCCCAACCCCCAAGTCCTCTTCTTTCGTCGTGGTGGAAAAAGAGATTGGAGAGACAGATAACTGGCAGGGCACTAGCCTGTTGGCTTTGAAGGCGGCCGACCCAGGCTTCATCCCCAGCACCTTATATAGTTGACCCCTAAGCTCTGCTAGCAGTGGTACCTGAATTCAGCCAGGTGTAAGCCCTGAGCACCACTGGAGGTAACCCCCACCAAGAGGAAAAAAAAAAAAAGAAAAAAAAGAAGGGTTAATAAGGGCAAGCAAAAATAGTCCAGTGGATAAGGCACTTTCCTTTCCCATGTGGCCAACCCGCTTCCATCCCTGGCACTGCATATGGTTCCCCAAGCACCCACAGTGCCACTCCAAGGAGGAGTCCTGAGCACCTCTTGGTGTAGCCCGAAATTCAAGGGAAAAAAGGGGGTGGGTAGTCTGTAGAGAAGGTAGGACACATGGTTGGCAGGCATCTGATCAGGGTTTGATTCCTGGCACCCCAAGCATCACCAGGTGCAGCCCTGAAGGCCTCTGAGTACCATGGGGTGTAGTTCTGGAAACCCCAGTACCACTCGTTGGCCCAGGTACCCCTGGCACCACAGGGCCCGAATAGCACTGCACCCTCAAGCCCTTGCATTGAGCTGATGCTCCCAGTTGGCTAAGAATTGTCAGTGGGTCCCCAGGTCTTCTGAGCACTGCTTGGGAGCCTCTCTTTAAAAAAAAAAGGATGGGGAAACAGGGAAGTAACCCTAGGAAAGTGGATGGTCACATTGGGTTACAAGAACCCTTGAAAATGACATTTATGATGGAGTGAAGATCTTTCTGGGGTAGAGGGAGGCAAAAGGGCCCCCAGGAACCTGGCCCAGATCAGGCCACGGATGCTGAGGCGCCAGGAAGAAGCCGGAGAAAGAGCTGTCCGCTGGGTGGAGGGAGCTGCCGGGTGCAGTCCCAGGGCTGGGCTCTGGTTCCCCGTGATCGGTTCCGGGGAATTTCCCTGGGAGGGGGCTGTGGCTGGAAGCCCCTGGGGAGGCTCCTTCCTGTGTGAAGGCCTCTTTTCTTCTCAGCCTGGTTCCCGTGGTGCTTCCAGAGCCCAGCCTGGCCTGTGAGGGAGCATCTCAGTCTAGGGTGGGGTGGGGACCCCTTAGAGTCCAGAGCCTGGCGCCCCCTCCCTCTTTGGGGAGGTGGAGTATGCGGAACTGGGTGGAACCCTCATCCTTGTCCTCTCACACACCCAGAAGTAGCCAGAGCCCCCGGATTTCTTCTGGGGAGCTGGAACATTCCATTTACTAGTGGGGTTAGTGAGTTTTCCTAGCCTGGACTCCGGGCAAGTCCGAACAAATCCCTTCCTCTACCCACTCTCCCAGATACCTCCTCTCACCTCGCAGCCCCGGGGGTGGGGACCACCAGGGGCTTCCTCTTCCTGATCTGGGCTGCTGGACCTTTCCTCGGTTTAGGTCAGCAGCTGGGTGGCATGGCCTCACCCCAGGCCGGGCACCTTCCAAGCAAGTCAGTTAGTTGTTCAGACCTCAGGGAAGGGTTTCTAAGATTCCTCCCAGCCCTTGAACCACTCCCACCCCCCCGACTCTAAATGAGGCCCCATCTCTGCACCTCACCTGCCCTTAGAGTCATTCTTCCAGACCCTGACCTTGAGGAATGCTGGTCTGGAGGCCCTGTTCCTCATAGTTTTGGGTCCAAGAACTTGGTCCTTGTCCCCCTCCACCTTAGGGCTCGGCCTTCTAAGTCCAGGGACTTGAGTGGACTCGTGCCTCAGTTTCCCCAATCTCTTTGCCCACAGGGGAACTTGGTATTTCGTGCCTGGGACATGGAGGAAGGGTGGTACTAGGGTCTTGGGTTTTAGCTCCAGCCCTTGAGTGTGGTAGAGAGACACGTAGTGCCAAGGGCCAGCGTAGAGGAAGGGAGGCCCCTGGTGCGGGCTCCTCCCAGGTTCCAGATGCTTCTCTGGGTGCGGTTGGAGAGCAGCATGGTCCAAAGGCACCTGTTCTCCTGGGGCTTGGAAAGTCCCCTCGACGGCTTTCCATCCGTCTCACCACTGCGGGCTGCGGGTGGTGGCCGGAGTATGAGGGACGGGGGCAGAGGGAGAGTCTTTCCCAGGGAGGGGACCCTGCCAGCTGTGTGTGTATCTTGGGGCCTCTCCTGGATGCCTCTATGGGTTCAGGGCTTTATCCTGCCCGGTTCTGTGGCTTTTGTGGTGGGAAGAAGATTATTTCACAGATACCCCCTACTGGCTACCCCTCCCTCTCTGGAACTGTTCCCACCTGTTCTAGCTCTCTGAGGCCTGGAGACTGTGTGTACATGACACACGTATGCATACATGTGTGTCCCATGCAGGGTGAGGGCAGTTCATGCTGGGGGAGGTATTGGAGCAGACACGAATGTCCCAGAGTGCCATCCAGGGGTCTGGTTCCAGGAAACAGATAGGCTGGGAGGAAGAGAGTTACTTACCAGTCTTGCTGCCTGGCTCTCTGCCCAGCTGGAAGATGGCCTGGCGGGCACCAGGGGCTGGTCTTCACCCCCACATGCTGCCTGGCTTGGACCAGACTTACTCTGCATCTCTTTTCCCACACATGGAGGAACAGGCCTGTTGGCAGTGGTGACCCTGTGTAGTAGGGTCTCTCTTTGAGGGATGAGAAAGCCATCTAGGTTTCTTTCTTTTTTTTTTTTCTTTTTGGGTCACACCCGGCAATGTACATGGGATACTCCTGGCTCTGCACTCAGGAATTACTCCTGGCGGTGCTCGGGGGACCCTATGGGATGCTGGGACTCAAACCCAGGTTGACTGCGTGCATGACAAATGCCCTACACGCTATGCTATTGCTCCAGCCCCCATCCAAGTTTCTTTCTGAGGGACTGTCACCTTTGCCACCTTGGTCTGAGACACCTCCCCACACACACACTCATCTGACCCCCCCTCTCTTGTCTCTTTCAGTTGTTCTGTTGGACTTCGCTGCATCCAAAGGGGAACTGGGCTGGCTCACAAGTCCCTATGGCAAAGGGGTAAGACTTTGGGGACTGGAGGGGGCATGGGAACGGGGAAACCGAGAACCAGGGAGGAGGGGTCCTGCTTCGATGGAACAGCTCAGCCAGGTCCAGGCTCAGATCTTGCTTCTCAAGTCAGATTAAGAGTCAGTTTACTGAGGACAGGCTGACTGGAGAGGGGGTACTAGACAGTAGGGAAGGGACCAGAGGGTAGAAGTCGCTGAGGACATAGTTGAAGCTTCCAGCAAGGCACGGAGTCCCCACTTGCCTCCTCTTAAGAGTTCAGTGGTGAAAAACTCCTCCTAGCTTTGAGGTCCCCAGCCCAGGAGGTGAGAGGGAGAGAGGCAGAGTGGTGAGTCCAAGAGGTGGGAGGGAGAGATGAACCGGCCTCCCATGTCCCCTAAGCCTTGAAAAAGCAGGGAAAGTTTCAGTTCCCCATACTTCCTGCCAGACCCCTCACCTGCCTCCCCAGCTGTTGCTTCCACTTCCTGCTTAGGACTGAGGACTTTTTTTTTTGCCTCTTCCCGGAATTTCCTCCCCTTAGTCCCACGCTGTGGCAAACCGGTGGGCAGATGTTGGGGTCCTTCCGGGCCCAACTGGGACCCTGTGATTTTAGGAAGGATTTGCTAACTCTCTGGGTCTCCACTTCCTCCTCTGGACAATGAGTCATTGAAGGGTTTGTCAGCTCCTGAACTGACAGGATGGTGTCTCCAGCGGGCAGCTGGGGCCAGTTCCCCACTGCTGGTCCCCTGTGCGTCAGTGTTGGGTTCTTGTCCCTGATTCCCCCCAGCTTTGAGGAGTCTGGAGTGTAGGCCTGAGTGATCTTCTAGACCCTGGAATGTGAGACTGGGAGGGAATATAATCCAATCACATAATCCAATCTAGCCATTAAAGAGGACTCGGAGGACCGCGGGCACTGGATGCCTGGGCCAATGGCCTCTTTCTTTGGCCATTCTGCCTCCATTCTTTCGTCTGTTCATTCACTCAGCAGATAGTTTCTTTTCTTTTTTTTTTTCTTTTTGGGTTACACCCGGCGATGCACAGGGGTTACTCCTGGCTCATGCACTCAGGAATTACTCCTGGTGGTGCTTGGGGGACCATATGGGATGCTGGAAATTGAACCCGGGTCGGCTGTTTGAAAGGCAAACACCCTACCCGCTGTACTATCGCTCCAGCTCCTCAGCGGGTAGTTTCTTGAGCACCTACTCCATTACAGTGGGCCCTGGTGAGGTGAGTTTGGGGGAGGACCTCGGAATCTAGCCTGGGAACCAGATGTAGGTGTCACCCTGTAGGTGCTGCCATACACCTACATGTATGGGACATGGTGGGGACATGGTGGGATCGTAGCAGTAGTCCAGCGGGTAGGGTGTTTGCCTTGTGTGCGGTTGACCCAGGTTTGATCCCCGAAATCCCGTATGGTCCTCTGAGCACCACTAGGAGTAATACCTGAGTGTTAGCCAGGAATAGTCCCTGAGCATCACCATGTGTGATCCCAAAATCCAAAAGGACATAGAGAGGATGAGATAGGAGGGGGACATTTGGCTTGACCTTGGTCCGACCTAGGAAGTCTGGAGAAATCGTGCTTTGTTCTAAGTAAGGAAGAACCTGCTTCGATTCGTTCCAAAGCTCAAAATCTATATAGGATGGGAGAGGATCTCTGGTTTCACTCTGACCCCTTCCTCTGCCACTCACATCTGCATACATGTGTGTACGGTGACTAACAACAGTAATAAGGATAATGATCTAATGAGACCAGCTGCAGTGTTTTATGAACCTTCTGTCACTCACTCAACCACGTAAACCATTCTACATAATATAGCTGTCCATTTGTCCCCATATATCACTAGGGACCTTGAGGTTCCAAAATTGTAAGGGAGGTCGCAAGTCCCCTCTCCCCCCAGGCTCTGCTCATCTCTCTTAGAGTTCAGCAGTTGACACTGGAGTAGAGATATTGGGGTCAGGCACCTGCTAAACCACTCCTAGTGTGTGTGGAAGCCTTTGGAAGGGTCTCTGGGCCTCTGCTTCCTTCCCTGTAAAATTAGATTTTACAAGAACCATGGAGCATTTCCTTTCTTTTTTTTTTTTGGTCACACCCGGCAATGCACAGGGGTTACTCCTGGCTCTGCACTCAGGAATCACCCCTGGTGGTGCTCAGGAGACCATATGGGATGCTTGGTATCGAACCTGGGTCAGCCGCATGCAAGGCAAATGCCTTACCCACTGTGCTATCGCTCCAGTCCTGGAGTATTTTCTTGATGCCCAGCTCTGCTAGCTGGGCATTGCCTCTGGGCCTCCATTTCCCTCACACTAACCCGTTGGGCCTCCCGCAGTGGGACCTGATGCAGAACATCATGGACGACATGCCCATCTACATGTACTCTGTGTGCAACGTGGTGGCCGGCGACCAGGACAACTGGCTCCGCACCAACTGGGTATACCGCGGCGATGCCGAGCGCATCTTTATAGAGCTCAAGTTCACCGTCAGGGACTGCAACAGCTTCCCCGGCGGTGCCAGCTCCTGCAAGGAGACCTTCAACCTCTACTACGCTGAGTCGGACGTGGACTACGGAACCAACTTTCAGAAGCGCCAGTTCACCAAGATCGACACCATTGCGCCTGATGAGATCACGGTCAGCAGTGACTTCGAGGCACGTCATGTGAAGCTGAACGTGGAGGAGCGCTCTGTTGGGCCACTGCGCCGGAAGGGCTTCTACCTGGCTTTCCAGGACATCGGCGCCTGTGTGGCTCTGCTCTCCGTCCGGGTCTACTACAAGATGTGTCCTCAGCTGCTCAAGAGCCTGGCCTCCTTCCCCGAGACCATTGCCGGCTCTGACGCGCCCTCTCTGGCCACCGTGGCTGGCACCTGCGTGGCCAATGCCGTGGTGCCTCCCGGTGGGGAAGAGCCCCGAATGCACTGCGCGATGGACGGCGAGTGGCTGGTGCCCATCGGTCAGTGCCTGTGCCAGGCGGGCTATGAGAAGGTGGAAGATGCCTGCCAGGGTAAGTGATGGTTCAGGGTGGCAGGGAAGAGGGTCTGATGGGGGAGGGTGGAATCCTCCACGCCAGGTTCAGTCTTGATTCTAGTGAGTGTCAAAACAGGGTCATGCAGCAAATCCTGTTAGGGGAAATCTCTCTCTCTCTTTTTTTTTTTTTCCGCTTTTTTTGGGTCACACTTGGCGATGCACAGGGGTTACTCCTGGCTCTGCACTCAAGAATTACTCCAGGCAGTGCTCAGGGAACCATATGGAATGCTGGAAATCTAACTCCGGTCGACTGGGTGCAAGGCAAACACCCTACCTGCTGTGCTATCGCTCCAGCCCCTAGGGGAAATTTCAAGGCCTTCCTGGACCTGGGTCTGAATTCACTCATTCCATGGGAATGACGGGCTGAGCGCATGCTTTGCATGCTTGAGGCCTGGATGCTATCATTGGCACATGATCTCCCCCACCAGGCACCACGGGGAGCAAACCCCACCCCACTGAGTATGTCCCCAAAACCAAAATCTGTGAATGGAGAGTCAATATAGTTTGCCATTTTTTTTTCTTTTGGAGGTGTCGGGAACTGAATCCAGGGCTTCACATGTATAAGACAAGTTACGTTCTGACTGAGACAGTATAGCATGGCGGTTCTGAGTAAGGACTCTAGGACAGAAGTGCCAGGGTTCTAAATTAAAATTTTTTTTTTCCTTTTTGGGTCACACCTGGCGATGCACAGGGTTTACTCCTGGCTCTGCACTCAGGAATTACTCCTGGCAGTGCTCAGGGGTCCATATGGGATGCTGGGAATCGAACCCGGGTCGGCCACATGCAAGGCAAACACAATACCCGCTGTGCTATCACTTCATTCCATGCCAGGGTTCTAATCCCAACTCTATGTTAGTGGTGTGGCCTGAGCATGGGTTTCTCCATCTGTAAAATGGAGATGAGCAGAGTGGCCATCTCGGAGGGTTGTTATGATAATCAAATGACCTAATACTCATAAAGCGCTTAGATCAGTGTCTGACACATAGTACTTTTAAGTGCGATTGTTATTTTTGATTCATCCCACTGAGTGTCTGCTGTAGACCGACGACTCTCTGTGTGATTGTAAGCGTGTCACCTAGCCTCTCTGGGTTGCAGGCTCTGGACATGGAGGTGTGTGATTCAACCCAGGGTTCCCATCGGTGCCTGCACATTAGAATCCCCAGGGGAGCTTTGAAATGGGTGAGGTGGGGGAAGGGGAACGGGAGGGGGTAGGCCCTGTCCTTCCCGCAGCCACAGGCTCAGATTCTCCTTTTCCCCCCCATCAGAGAGAGCTTCAGCCAATGACAAACTGAGTCCAGAGAGGGGACACTTTAATCAGAGGCTCTGTGGATGGGACCTGGGAGCGATTGTGCTCCCTCTGGAAAGTTGCAGGGCCAAGGCTCTGTGACAGCGGAAATCTCGACAATGTGGATTTTTTTTTTTTATTTCAATGGGTGGCTTTTTCTGGAAACTTTTTCTGGCAACGGGGCAGGGCATTTGTGGAATGCAGGCCGACCTTTGGAAGGGCAGCTCGCTCATCTCTCTCTGAGAGCTTCTTTTCTGAGATAAGCGGGGTGTTGAGAAATTGGGGCTGTAGTCCCCACACTCACACATACCTATGGCGTGGTCTTGGCCCCGTCCCTCCTCATCTCTGGCCTCAGGTTTCTTGTCAGAAAAGCAGCAGCCCAGCTGCTGGCTCTGTGCTCAGGGATCACTCCTGGCAGGGCTCGGGGAACCGTATGGGGTGCCAGGGATCAGACCTGGGTCAGCTGCGTGTTAGTGCCCTATCCCTGATACTATCGCTTGCTTTGACCCCTGGAGCTCTTGATGGGGGCCCCCTGTGCCTCCCAAAACAAATCCTCAGATCCCTAACACCATCCTGGGAGCCCTGGGTGACAGTGCTCGTTCTGGCCCACCTGTGCTAGTTTCTTCTGTGACCTCGCCCTCCACCCTCTCTTCTCCCAGCTCCCCTCTGCTGTGGAGACCCTCTCCCCAGGCAGCCCCTGCTGTAGGTGACCTCAGGAGGACACTCCCAGTTTCAGACAATGACTGTAGGGTGGGGGGGGGCTCAGACTCCTCCCACATGACATCCTCCGACAGGAATGCGGGGGTGGGGGTGAGGGGCAGCTGAAAACTTTCCACAGGCTGGTGATTCAGACCCTGCAGAGATAAGTGCATGGTTGTGGGGGGGGTTGTCTCTCCAGAAAGGGGTGCTAGCCTTCCCACTCCCGGTGCTGGGGGGTCAGGGTTATGACCGGCTTTGTTTGTGAAGTCGCACAGTCCCTGGGTGGGAAGGGCTGGATTTCGCAGCTGCTGACCCCCAGTTTCCCTGGGTTTCCTTCTTGGGGATCCCCAATCAAAATTACCCTCCGTATGGCTTCAGGGAGCTCTGGACAACTGTGGTCCCCCAGTCTGGCTGAAATTTCCTCTCCCAGCTTCTCCCCAGCATCTCCCCCCACTACGACGCTTCTACCAGTAACCACCTCGAGCCGAGGGCTGTCTCCGAGGGCAGGCAAGAGTGGGCCAGGCAGGCTGGTCGTGGAGGGATGACACAGTACCAGGCCCATTGAACAGAAAAGGGAGGCTCAGAGAGGCCACGAGACTTGCCTGGACTCACACAGCTCCCGTGCCACCTCAGGATCTGGATGCCAGACATGCAGCGGCGCCTGGCCCAGAGGATGGGCCAGGAAACGGGGTGGGAAATGACCAGTTCCTCTGGAATCCCTGACTCAGCTTCTGGCCCTAGGACAGGCTCACGGGGCAGCCCCAGGATGGCAGGTCCTGGGGCAGGAGGTGGTGGGGGAATTGGGGGGCCATTACTAAGAACGTGGAGGGAGGGAGGCAGGCAGGCACTGTTCTGTCCCATCAGGAGGGCCACGGATGGTCTCTGGGGCCCAGAGAGCAGCCCCCACACCCAGCCCCGGGGTCCACTTTAGCCCCAGTTTGTTCCTCCCCAGTCTCCTTCCCTCCCTCTCCCCCACCCCCCACCCCCACCTAGAAACCCAGAGCTCAGGAAGGAGTTAAATGGGTAGCGGAAGGGAGGCACCTCTCAGGTGCTGTGTTCGGACAGGTGGGCACGCTGCCCGGGAGAGCTCTCGTGAGCTATGTCAGGAATGAGGCAGCTTCTCTCCCCCGCCCGGGGGACAGTGGAGTCACTCAGGCTGACCGTCATCTCCCCCGGGGCGCCTTTGTCTCCCCGGTTCATCTCTGCTTCCTGTGCTGGCATCGGCTGGCGCCTGGGCCATGGGGGCTGCCGGCCAGGTGAGCAGGTGGCCAGCGGCTTGGGCCAGAGGCCGGTCCAGCAGCTGCGAGGTGTGGGGCCAGAGGGGGTGTCTGGAGTCCCCTCCTCCAAGGAGGGAGCTGGTCTCTGGGGGAGATCTCTCCACCTCGCCTTCCCAGCACGAGGCCGAGCATTGCACCAGCAAAGCTTCCCCATGGGTCATCCCCCACGGCCCGAGAGGCTGAGGACGCGACCCCCCCATTTTACAGGTGAGGAAAAGGGGGGCTCAGAGAGAACATTGGTGACCAGCCACCCAATGAGCTCCGACTGTGGCGAAGGCACACAGTCCCCAATGGCCTCTGACACAAGCCGCTTCACCCCTAAGCAGTATGAACTTGGCCCCTCTGGGCCTCATCGCCAGGTTCCTGCCTGCCCCGCCCCCACCTGCGGAATGAATGGGCTGCCTCCTTGCTGACCGAGTGGTCGACCTTCCCTTTCTGTGACTTTCTGCTAGGTCTAAGAACCTGGCTGCATTGCAGGCTGTTGACTCAGTGACCTTACCACAAGGAGGTGTGGGTCCCAGCAAGGGGGGGGGGGTGGCCATCCATAGGCACGGAGGCTTTAGACTTGGGGGTCCTCCTCCCTTGGGATAGCCCTGGACTGAGGCCTCCCTGGGCCTCTGATTCTGCCTCTCAGGTCTGGGGAGCGCCACGGGGACTTATTTCCTTACAGCTTCCTCCGGGCTGCTGGGGTGAGGGCCCTGGATGGTAGTCACCCTCCTGCCCCCCTTGCTCTCTGCCCTGCCCGCCCAGCCGGCTCTGCCCTCTGTTCGCACTGGGGTGCAGCTCCTCCCTCCCACACTCTCTCCCGGGAGGTAAGAACGGAAGGAAGGAGGCAAGGAGAGCAAATAGAAGATAAAAGGCCTGTGGCCGGGAAAGCGGGAGGCGGAGGCTTGGAGGGGGTGCTGCCCTTATCGCGGCTAGGTAGAGGAATGTGCCCCCAGATAATTCCCAGGGTGTGTGTGTGAAAGGTAGCCAGGGCCACAGGGGCATGGCCATGGGGTCAGGGCGTCTCTGTAGAGGACAGAGGGAAGCTGACTCCCTCGGGAGCCTGGGGGGGGGGTCTTAGCGCCCCTCATTTGCTAGGCCAGTAGCTTGCAGGCTGCCATCAGCTGCCTGTCAGGGCATCTAGACAGAGTCCAGGCTCCCGTCCTTGGGCTGAAGTGGCACGTGTGGTCACCAGTTGGGCTTGATGAGGGGTGGTGACTGGCTCTAGGTGAATTACAGCTGCCACCACTTGACCGTGTGACCTCGTCACTGCCTGCCTGGGAGGTGGTGGAGCGGGGGTGGGGATGGGGGTGAAGGTGGGAGGGGGCGGGGGGGGTGGGCGGGGAGGGGGCTGCTGCTTAGCCGGGGGATAGATTTGCGTCATGCCAGAGGGCGTCTGGTCCTGAGTCACCCGACGCTGCCACCCGAGGGGCGGGCATGGGGAACTGGAAAAACCAGGGTGCAGCCATCATGCCCCAGTTCCCCTGTTGAGAGTGGCCCAGGCCTGCCAGGGATGTACTCCCTGTTTGTTTGTGCCCCAGCCAGGCCCTCGTGCCAGGCAGGAGGGGACATTGTCGTCTCGGGGTCTCCGGAGCCCTGGACACAGTGTGCATCTCTGCCTGAGAGTGGTGTCCGACGCAGATGTTGTAGGTCTCGCTGTTCGCTCACTCAGTCATTCAGGAAGCACCAGCCAAGCACCTGCTGCGTGCTGGGCCCGCAGCCGTGGGGCTCAGCTCCTGCTTTCCAGGTGCTGCCAGGCTCATCGGAGCGGATCCTAATTCGCGCAGAGACGGTTTCAAATGGAGCACAAGAGCCAGGCTGTGAATTCCCCTGGAGCGTTAGCCATGTTTATCTAACTCCCAGTCGGAGCCCAGCGCTCAGCATCGTGCCAGACACGTAGGAAGTGCTCGATTTCTGCTTTGTAGACAGCAGGTTGAGTCATCAGTGCCCTCCTGGGGCAGAGGGGGCCAGAAATGGGGCTTTGGGGGGAGGGCTATGTGGAGAAGCTCCAGTTGGGTGCTGAAGGATGCATAGGAGTTTGCTGGTTGGCTCAGGGTCAGTGCAGCTTTTGTGCATGTGGATGTGTTGGAGTGTGTGTGAACCCCAAGTGTGTAACCCTTGTTCTCACCTGCCTGCGTAGGATATGAAGGGAGGACGAGGAGGGGGCGCTTGTGGGCATATTCTGCCTGAGCTCGGGGACCCCTGAACCGGGGTAAACATGGGCGGGGCTGGGCCTGGCCCTGCAGCTCTGTGGTTGGAGGAGGGGCCCCACATTCCCGTCAGGCAAGCACATGCCCTGTTGCCGCGGCTCCGCCACAGCATTATCTGGCACATCCGCAGCGGAAATCTCTCCAAATTCCCTCTTTCCTGCCGGCAGCAGGCGGGCCACCCCCGGGCTCTGGGGCCAAAGAATGGAACCCAACTCCCCCCCCACACTTCCTCCTCTTGGCATCAGGCTGGGGGCTTGCAATCAACCACGTGCTGGGGTGTGGGGTGTTGGGAAGCGTGTGCAGGTGGCTGAAGCTTTCAGCCGAAACAAACCCCAGCTCGGCGGGTTTGTGGTCCCGTCCCCAGCCTGAGAGCCCGGACTGAGAAGGTGTGATTGTGCTTCAAGGGGGCGCTGAGCATTCACCCCAGTTCGGTGAAGCCACCTGCAACCAGCATTTTTACTCGAGGCATCAGCCCCTCAGCGGACAAGTCAGGGCATCTGGGGGAATCGAAATTCCAGGGTAAACGTGGCTTCCTGGAATCTCCTTTTCACGGGAAGATTTAAAGAGGGGAGAGCTATTTTTATTTTCTGACATCTCGGTGAGTAGTGAGATAAAAGACTTGAAAGACCTTGGAACTTGCAGGAGGCCTTTTTGGCTACCCAGCCAGCTCCTGGGGGCCAATCCACTCTTTCATTCAGGAAGATCTGTGAAGGGGTGGTCCACCGCCCCCCTCTACCCCCAGCTGCTCTGAAATTAGTCTTGGGGTTTTCTGGCTGTTGGAACCAGTTGGGACTCATCCCCTCTCTCTTGGGGCTGGCTCAGGATGTTGATTCTTTTTGCTCCAAATTTAAGTGTTTGTGGGAAAGGAGAGGCCCAGAGTCGGGCTTCCTGGGTTTAGAAGTTGGCTCCTGTCTTAGGAGCTTGGGGGGGATAACTTGGGCACGTTGCGCTCTGTCCTGAACCTCAATTTCTTCATTTCCTCAGGTGCCCAAGTATAATTGACTTATTGTGATGATTGAGTGGCTGTCTCTAGCTTGGTGTAGGGGTTGTACATAGTAGCCGCAGAATAAAAATGGTCACTGTGTCAACGGGACTCCAGGGAAGAGCTGAGTGCTCACTCCGTCTGCTGCACTGGAAGGCTCATGGAGGTCCTGCGGGAGGTTGCTGGTGTGACCACAGGGCTAGGGCAGGGATGGAATGGGGCTGCCTCCCAGCAGTCGGTAATAAGAAGTCTGAGGCCGTCAGGAGGTGGGTCTCCGAGTCCTGTCCTTCATTCTTAGTCCCTCTCTCCACCTCTGCTCATGAGGGGTTGGACTGGGGGAGAATGCCATCCAAGTATTTATGTGGGAGGCACACTTGGCGGTGCTCGGGATCAATCCTGGTGGTGCTGGGGATGTAACAACCTGCAGTGATGGGAATCAAAACGGGCTCAACTGCATGCAACCCCAAGCGCCTTACGCTCCGAGTTCAGAGTTCCAGCCCCATCTCTCTAGCCCTTTCTAGGAATGCTGACACTTGTGTTTGGCGGGGAAGCCACATTCAGCCGTGCTCAGGCTCTGCACTCCAGGACCACTCAGTTGTGGTCGATTCCAATGGTGGAGTGTCACCCTAACTCAGGAGGATTTTAGGGGGTGCCAGGAATCAAACCTGGCTTGGCCACATGCAAGGGCAGTGCCTTATCTGTGTACGGTCGCTGTACTAGCCAGCCCCGACAGTTCCAGTCTTACCAATGGGAATCTTTCTGGGAGAGAGCAGGGGCTTTTTTAATTTTATTTTCCTGCATGTTTTTTTTTTTTTTGCTACACCCAACTCTACTGGGGGATTTGTGTCAGTGATAGAACCCGGACCTCCTGCATGCGTGCAGAGCCCTCACTCCAGCCCTTTCAGCACTCTCGCTTGCCCCAGCTGTTGGGCCTAGCGAAAGCCCCTGTTCCTTGCTCTGGCATCCAAGGTCTTTGTCTGGTCTCCGGGGACCTGTCAGCTTTCCTGCCTGCTGCTCCCTCTGCTCATACTCAACCTTACCCCTTACTCTTTCTCTACTGAACTCCTGCTCAATCACTAAGCCTCAGTCGCTGTAAGAACCCCTCCATGACTCCTTAGCGCCTTAGGCAAGGTGGTCTCTGTCCCCCTAGCTCTTGGCCCACTTCAAGGGAGATGTTATCATTGGCTTCTGCTTCGTGAGTTCAAGGTGTCTGTCTCACGTTGGGCTCCTTGGCCAAGCCTAGGGCAAGACACAGAACAGAGAAGCAATGAGCGTCTGATGACTGTGACTCAGAGGCTGGGGGTGTCTCAGAGCCCCTACCTCCTCTCTGGTGGTAATCAGGTGGTAGAAGAGGTCCAGAGAGTGTCACCCCAACTGGTGCCGCCCAAGTTCTGCATGGTGGGCCCTATGTCTGGGCAGCTTCCGGGGGCTGTGGGGCCAGGAAGGGGCTTGGGGTGGGGGCAGCAGAGGGCGATGGGAGGAAGAGGCTTCTGGAGTCAGGTGGCTGAGGCCCTCTCTGGTCCAGCCAGGAGGGGACCTGCTGGCGGCAGTGGAGCAGGAAGAGCGGCTTCCTGGCCGCCCTTGAGTGTGGCGGAAATGACCCGGGCCTGTGAGCAGATCCTGAGAAAATTCTAGGACGTGGCCTTTCCTGCGCTCCGCTCGGCCGGCCACGGGACAGGAAGGCAGCCGGGTCCCGGAGTGAGCGGAGCACCTGCAGGGTGGTATCCTGAGCTGATAGCAATCACACGCATGATGAAGAAGAGGTTCTGGGTGGCCTGGAGCCACACCCCCACCTCCACCCCCGGAGATGGTGGGGGGTGGGGGGATGTCGCAGCCTCTAGTATGCTGGAAGGTGCTGAGACAGCCCAGCGGAATCCTGTGGCTGGTGCGGTGCAGGCTGAGCCAGGGTTCCCAGGAAGCTGGGCGCTGCTCTGTGGACCTTGAACAGCAGGCTCAGAGCGTGGCATCTTGGGAGGGTCAGCGGGGAGTGATGCAAACACTGAAGCCCACGGGCGAGGCACTTCCTGGAGCTCCTGGGAGCAGGTGGTGCCTTGTGCTTTGTCACGGCAAGACGTTTTGCTGATGAGAGGAAGAAGCCCGAGCAGGGTTCGCCAGCTGGGTTGAGCTGATGTTCATCCCTGTGCCCCACCCCCACAGCGTGCAGCCCCGGGTTCTTCAAGTCTGAGGTGTCCGAGAGCCCCTGCCTGCCGTGCCCTGCACATACGCTGCCGTCCTCCGAGGGGGCTGCCTTCTGCGAGTGTGAGGAAGGCTACTACCGGGCACCGCTGGACTCACTGGCCTTGCCCTGCACACGTGAGTCTCACAGCGGGTCGGGTCGTGTCGGGTCGGGTTGGGTCGGGTTGGGGAACCCCTGGGAGGGGGTTGTGTCCCGGCCAAGCTGGGCCCCAACGCCGACCTCTCTGCTGCAGGTCCGCCCACCGCCCCAAACTACCTCACCGCCGTGGGCATGGGGGCCAAAGTGGAACTGCGCTGGACGCCGCCCCAGGACAACGGAGGCCGGGAGGACATCACCTATAGCGTCACCTGTGAGCAGTGCTGGCCTGAGTCGGGCGAGTGTGGGCCCTGTGAAGCCAGCGTGCGCTACTCGGAGCCGCCGACCGCCCTCACTCGCACCAGCGTCACCGTCAGTGACCTGGAGCCGCACATGAACTACACCTTCGCCGTTGAGGCCCGCAATGGCGTCTCGGGGCTGGTGAGCAGCCGCAGCTTCCGCACTGCCAGTGTCAGCATCAACCAGACAGGTGAGGGGCCTGCAGACCCTTGGGGTCCACGGTGACGGGGGAGGGGTGGGTAGCAGGCTTCAGGAGGATGGATGCCTGGATGCCTGGGGCTCAGCTGTGTCAGGGAGACACAGTGCTGGGTGGTGGAGAACACAGTCTTGGGGCTGGAGAGATTGTACAGCGGGGAGGCTGCTCTTCCTGCACACACCAGACCTGGGCTCCATCCCCGGCACCCCATCTGATCCCCTGAGCACTGCCAGGAGTGATCGCTGAGTACAGAGTCAGGGGTCAACCTTGAGCACTGCCAGGTGAGTTCCCCAAAGCAAACAAAAGAGCACAGTCTCCCGTGCAAGAGAAGTAGTATGGGGTTTCAGGGCACTTGGCTTATACATGGTCAATCCCAGATTGATCCCTGGCACTGTATCTAGTCCCTAAGCACCGCTGGGAGTAATCTCTGAGCACCACCAGGTATATGACCTCAAGTACAAAATACCCACCCACCTCTCCCCAAAAGTACAGTATTCAGAATGATTTCTTCGCTCAGTTACCAAAAAGCAAGTTACTTAATGTCTCTGAACCTCAGTTTCCTCACTTCTAAAATAGGCGTGATAACAGGGTTATTGTATTTAAAATTTTTTTATGTGTGAGACCTTGAACAGTGATTCACACACACACACACACACACACACACACACACACACACAACTATGGCAAGATATAGCAAGTCAGGTTTGTTTTGTTTTGTTTTTGTTTTGGGGTCATTCTTGGCAGTGTTCAGGGTGCACTCCTAACTCTGTGCTCAGGGATCATTCCTGGGGGATTCAGGGGGACCATATGGGATGCCCAGGATAGAACCCTGGTTGGCCTGTGTATGAGGCAAATGCGCTCCCTGCTGTATTTCAGCCTAAGTCCCCTACTTCTGTCTGTGTGTATTATTTGGCTTTTGGGCCATACCTGGTGCTCAGAGGACCATACAGAACTAGGGATTGGACCCAGGGTTTATACATGCAAAGCATGTACTCCAGACACACCCCTCCCCCCATTTTTGGGGGAGGGGGGGTGTTGGCCACATCCAGTGGTGCTCATGAGTTATTCCTGGCTCTGTGCTTGGGAGTCAATCCTGGCAGTGCCCAGGAAACCATCTGTGGTACCAGGGATCAAACCAGGTCTAGCTGCATGCAAGGCAAGCCCCTTAGCCCCTGTTCTGTTTCTCTAGTACTATATATTTTTTTTTAATATTGATGTCACAGGTGGGGCTAAGCCAGGAGCTGGTGATTTTTTGTTTTTTGTTTTTTTAATTTTTGGGGGGAAGGCAACATACCTGGCATTGCCTCTAGGGCTGTTCTGACATGGTGCTCAAGCACCACTCCTGGTGGCGTTCAGGGCACCACGCAGTGCTGGGGATCGAACCTGAGGCTCCTGCCTACAGAGCATGCGCTATAGCCCTTTGAGCCATCACCCTGGTGCCTGGAGTCCAGCGCTCTGCACTGGAGGTTAAGCGTCCTAGGTCGGGGTCTGAGGAGCTGGGCTGTCGTTGGACTCTGTCTGGGTATGTCTGTTCTCCCACCCAGTCGTGGCTTCTCACATTCCCCCCCCCTCCCACCTGCTCTTTCCCAGAGCCTCCCAAGGTGAAGCTGGAGGGCCGGAGCAGCACCTCGCTGAGCGTCTCCTGGAGTATCCCCCTGCCTCAGCAGAGCCGCGTGTGGAAGTACGAGGTCACCTACCGCAAGAAGGTAACTCCTGGGGGCCAGGGAGATAGCACAGTGGATCGGGTGCGTGCATTGCATGGGGCCAACTTGCCGTCCATCCCTGGCACCCCATTTGCTCTCTGAACCCTGCCAGGAGTGATCCCTGAGCACAGTGCCAGGTATAAGCCCTGAGCACTGCTAGGTGTAAGCCCTGAGCACTGCCAGGTGTACATAAATCAAAGATGGTACCTCTGGGTGGGGTTGGGCTGGTTCTGGCTCTGCGGCAGGCAGAGGAGGGTCCCCTGTAAGTACTGCCACTGAGCGCACCCCATAGCCACCTGAAGCAGCTGCACCCTGCAGGTGGGGAAACTGAGGCTGGGGACCCTGGACAGTCTCCACACAGCAGAGGTGGGTGGGAGGCGAGACGTGGGGGTCTGGAATCCAGATGCTGGGGATGGGACAGACGTGCGTTTGCTGGCTGTGACCTGTAGCTAGGACCTCCCTTGTCTGAGTGGGTTTGTGAGGGTGGTGAACCAGCACCCAGCTCTGTCTCACTGCTCCGTCACCCGCCGGCCACCACAGGGAGACTCCAACAGCTACAACGTGCGCCGCACCGAGGGCTTCTCCGTGACCCTGGACGACCTGACCCCGGACACCACCTACCTGGTGCAGGTTCAGGCACTGACCCAGGAGGGCCAGGGTGCCGGCAGCAAGGAGCACGAGTTCCAGACGCTGTGTGAGTTGAGGCTCACGTCCCGGGGGAGGAAGTGCAGTGTGAACTCACCCAGGACCTGGGTGGCCCTGGAGGGGGTGGGGAGGTCCTGGCCCAAGCCTGGGGTGAGGTGGATGTGAGGGCTGAGTGGGGAGAACCAGACCTCTGTAGGGCGGGGTTGGACATGGGTTTCGGCTTTGGCAGACCCTGTTCGAATCCTGCGTGGTGGAGGGCAGGGACTCGATTTCCCCTCTCCCCCCGCTACGGGGTCGGTCTCTCTGTTCCCCTGGGGAGGCCCCCACCGTGACTCTTGGAGGTGGGAGTAATTTGCTCATTCTCAAACCAAAGCCGGTGACGGCACCCACCCTGTGTCTGGGGTCCCTCCAGTGGCCCTCGGTGCCATAGGGGTTGTTGCTGGGATTTGGGGCTCCCTGGTCATCTCTGCGTCTCCCCGACAGCCACGGAAGGATCGAGCAACATGGCGATGGTCGGCGGCGTGGCAGTCGGTGTCCTCCTGCTGCTGGTGCTGGCAGGAATCGGCTTCTTCATCCACCGCAGGTTGGTGGGGGGCCCCGGGCTGGGAAGCACTGCGCCTGACCATGCTGTGGGGGTGCTGCTGAGGGTCACCCCCGGCTCATAGTGTGTCGCTTCCTCTGGGCACGCCAGCAGGAAGCACCGGGGCACTCGAGCGAGGAAAACCCTGGCCAGGGCCACTCACGGGGTCATTCGAGGGTTGTTGGTGTGAGGACCAAGCCCTGCCTGGTCATTTCCTCTCCACCCCTCCTCGACCTTCCCCCTGCCCTCTGCCCGGTGAGCAATGCTCTGGGTGCTCTCAGGGGACCCGCGTGAGGTCAGGAGGCTCCCCACAGACTCCCCATGTGATGGGCTTCTTGTGTGTTTTTTTTTCCAGGAGGAAAGGCCTGCGAGCACGCCAGTCTTCGGAGGATGTCTACTTCTCCAAGTCAGGTGAGAGGCGCCTTGTCCCAGTGGCAGGGCTGGAGGGTGGGGCCACAGGTAGCCGACAGGGGCTGATTCGGAGCCTCCACACCCCACAAGCCTGTGTGTGCCTCTTGACGCTTGCTCAGAGCATCTCCTGCTGTGGACCCCCCCACCCAGGACCCCCTGCCCCGAGCTGCCTGTGAACCTCTCTTTCTTCCCTGCTACAGAACAACTGAAGCCCCTGAAGACGTATGTGGACCCCCACACGTATGAGGACCCCAACCAGGCTGTGCTCAAGTTCACCACGGAGATCCACCCATCCTGTGTCACTCGGCAGAAGGTGATCGGCGCAGGTAAGCCGGCACCTCCCTGCAGGGACCCGGCGGGCGGGGAGGCCGTGGGCTCCCCGCTCACCCGGGCACTCCACCTCACGTGCTGCCCGCAGGAGAGTTTGGGGAGGTGTACAAGGGGATGCTGAAGGCGTCGGGGAAGAAGGAGGTGCCCGTGGCCATCAAGACGCTGAAGGCCGGCTACACGGAGAAGCAGAGGGTGGACTTCCTCAGCGAGGCCTCCATCATGGGCCAGTTCAGCCACCACAACATCATCCGCCTGGAGGGCGTCGTCTCCAAATGTGAGGCTTGTCCCCCTCCCCCTGTGCGGGTGGAGACCCTCAGGAGCCTCATCTACCCAGGGGTGGGAGTGAGGGTGATCCCCACCTCCCCCACTCCCCACTGTGGCTGTCCCTTGACCCTGTGCCACCCCTACAGACAAGCCAATGATGATCATCACGGAGTACATGGAGAATGGGGCGCTGGACAAGTACCTCCGGGTAAGGAAGTGGGGAAGGTCGGAAAGATAGGAGTTAGGGGTTAGGCACTTGTACATGGCTGACCCCATATGGTCCCCTGAGCCCTGTCAGGAGTAGTCCCTGAGCATAGCACCAGAAATAAGCCCCGAGCATGACTCAAAGCCTCCTCCAAAAAGCTTTAGGGGGGCCAAAGTGATAGTACAGTGGGTAGGGCACTAGCCTTGCAGGTGACTGATTCGGGTTCAATCCCCGGCACCCCATTCGGTCCCTTGAGCCCACCATGAGTGACCACTCAGCACAGAGCCAGGAGTAAGCCCTGAGCACAGCTGGGTGTGGCCCCCAAACTAGAAAATTAAGAAGGGAGGTGAGCATGCCCAGAGGTTAGGGACCCGGGTGGCTTGAGGCTGGGGGCTGAGGGCCTGTGCTCCAGCAGGAGAAGGACGGGGAGTTCAGCGTGCTGCAGCTGGTGGGCATGTTGCGGGGCATCGCGGCGGGCATGAAGTACCTGGCCAACATGAACTACGTGCATCGCGACTTGGCCGCCCGCAACATCCTGGTCAACAGCAACCTGGTGTGCAAGGTCTCAGACTTTGGGCTGTCCCGCGTGCTGGAGGATGACCCCGAGGCCACCTATACCACCAGTGTGAGTGTTGGGGACCATCGCTGCCCGGGCCGGGGGGCTTGAGGGTGATGCCGCCACTGTCCTGCTTCAAGGTCCTTGCCCATGTCCACCTGAGCTACGGACCACGGGAGACAAGGTCACCTGCAGGGGGTGTGGTGGAGGGGGCAGAGGGGATACCTTGGTGACTGGGCCTGTGTCCCCCGCAGGGTGGCAAGATCCCCATCCGATGGACAGCGCCCGAGGCCATTTCCTACCGCAAGTTCACCTCGGCCAGTGACGTGTGGAGCTTTGGCATTGTCATGTGGGAGGTGATGACCTACGGCGAGCGGCCCTACTGGGAGTTGTCGAACCACGAGGTGGGCCCCCTTCCCCACCGGAACCAACACCCCTGACACCCCTTCCCTTTCCCTACACGCTCCCGTCCCCAGGGCTGCACAGAGAAGGGTTTTGCGGGGGGCACTGATCACCCTCTTAGCCATTCAGTTGCTGAGTAAATGTGTTAGGTGGGTGGGCCTGCAAGATGCCAGGCCTCGTGCTGTGTTCCTGGTACAGGATCTGGAAACTGTACAGATGTGCAGGTGTGTGTGTGTGTGTGTGTATGCATGCATGCATTCATGTGTCTGTGTGTGTGCATGCAGTGTGCATGCATGTCTGGTACCTTGTGCAGCCTGGAGTGGGTCCCACAGGAGGTCATATGTCTGCAGACCCTGGTACAGTTGGGTGGGTAGCAGGTGAAGACAAGGAGGGGAATTGTGTTCCAGCCCAGAGCTTCCTAAGCTCCTTCCATGCCTTTTATTTATATTTATATTTATTAGGGGTTTTTGGTCATACCCGGCAGTGCTCAGGGCTTACTCCTGGCTTTGTGCTCAGGGATCACTCCTCATGGGTCTGGGGGACCATATGGGGTACTGGGGCTCAAACCCTGGCGAGCAGTGTGCAAGGCAAGTGCTTGTCTGCTGTACTGTCTCTGGCCCCTTGAGACCCTTTTTGCATGAGAAATGAAAAGCAAACAAGCACTTCCAGGAACATTTTGGCTTCGTGACATGGTTGATGCGAGTTGATTTTTGGTTGTGGTGTGTTCAAAAACCTCTCATTTTTGCCAAATTTTTGCAACCCCCATATTCAGTTGCACGTCCCCATATTGGGGGGGTGGCAGCCCACATTTTAAGAAACTCAGCTCTCTTGGAGCCGGAGCGATAGAATAGGGGGTAGGGTGTTTGTTTGCCTTGCATGTGGCTGACCTGGGGTTGATCCCTGGTATCCCATATGGTCCCTTGAGCATTGTCAGAAGCAATTCCTGAGCACAGAGCCAGAAGTAACCCCACAGCATCTCCAGGTATAGTCCAAAAACAACAGCAAAAACCTTGACTCTAGCCAAAGGGCATGGTACAGACCAGACTCTTCGTGTTTTCCAAAGTGGGAAGATGACCCCAGCGTGATTCCCCTTTGGTAGCCCAAGAAACTGAGTCATAGGGTTATTAGCCTCCAAATACCGCTCTGCACTGGAGTGGTTGAGGGGGCGTTCATGGCCTCTGGTGCAATCATCGGTGCTTTCTGTTGGTTCAGTTAAAGAAGGTAGAATTTCAGGTGGGTGCTGAGTGATTTTTTTTTTTTTTTTCTGAAAAAGGAGCAGTAGGCCAAATAAATTTGGTACCCTCTGGACTGGAGGGAGGCTGACTTCAGGGGACATGGTGTGGTTGCTGCCTGGGGTGCCCGCAGGGGGCTCCCTGGAACTCAGAATGAGCCCCATAGCATCTACCCCTAGTGCAGTTCTGAAGGTTTGTATCCAGCACAAGGAAGGACCCCTGAGCGAGTAGATGCTCAAAGGCCTAGAGCACGTCCTCTGCATGCTGGAAGCCTTGGCACCATCCCCAGCACCACGTGGTCCATCACTAGGAGTCCCCCCCAAATACTGAGCTGGGAATAACCTCCAAATACCAGCAGTTGTGACCCCCCAAACAAAGCAAAAGAAAAGGAGAGAGTCTTGCCCATCTGTTTGTGGGCCTCTGCTCACCTCTGTACGATTCCTGGGGGGGCCTGCATGGGAATGAATGGGAGCTGTGAAGTTGTCACCCCCCCCGCCCCCAACCACTTCCTTCCATGGCAGTTTTGCTCATTTGGCGTGTCCCTTCCCCCAGGTGATGAAGGCCATCAACGACGGCTTCCGGCTCCCCACGCCCATGGACTGCCCCTCTGCCATCTACCAGCTTATGATGCAGTGCTGGCAGCAGGACCGTGCCCGGCGCCCCAAGTTCGCCGACATTGTCAGCATCCTCGACAAGCTCATTAGAGCCCCTGACTCCCTCAAGACCCTGGCTGACTTTGACCCCCGGTGAGCGCCATGCCCTGTGTCCGAGGCAGCTCCCCCACTGAGCCTCTTCAGCCAGGGAGGGTTAGGGGATGCTGCTACTATGAAGACCAGCTGCCCCTATAGGAAGTGGATAGGGCCCTGCTTTCAGCACTGCTCGTGTTGGGGCTGGAGTGATAATACAGCGGGTAGGGCATTTGCCTTGCCCGCGGCTGACCTGGGTTCAATCCCCGGCATCTCATATGGTCCCCTGGGCACCGCCATGAGTAATTCCTGAGTGCAGAGGAACCCCTGAGCATTGCTGGGTGTAACCCAAAAAGGGAAAAAAAAAGCACTGCCCGTGTGAAGCACATTTGAGCAGATGGCCTCAGCGTGATGCCCTTTGGTAGCCCAGGAAACTGAGTCATAGGGTCATCAAGGGTGTGACATGCTGGCTATGGCCAGGCTGGGACTGTGACTCTCTTCCTCTGGATAGCTTATTGATGGTGATAATCGGCAGTAGGGCAGAGGGAGCAACCCTTAAGTAGTGATAACCACTGGGTGTGGATGGACGTGCCCACTGTGTCCCCGAGTCCCACCAGACCGTGGCTTCCCCATTGTCCAGAGGAAGAAGAGGCTGAGGCACAGGGCAGCTGGGGGCATGGTCCAGGGGAGGGAGCCACCATGGGGGGTTGCTGCAGCGCCTCATCGCGGTGGTGGTCCTGTTGCAGGGTGTCCATCCGGCTGCCCAGCACCAGTGGCTCAGAGGGGGTCCCCTTCCGCACGGTGTCCGAGTGGCTGGAGTCCATCAAGATGCAACAGTACACGGAACATTTCATGGCGGCTGGCTACACCGCCATCGAGAAGGTGGTGCAGATGACCAACGAGTGAGTTGTCTAGCCTCTGCCCGCCTCCCCCTCTTGGGCATCCCCTCCTCCTGGCACCCTCCTTCCTCTTCCTCTCTTCCTCTCTCTCGGGGAGAGAGAGACTTTGCAGGAAGGGCAGGACCAGGCTGGCAGCCAGCAATTCTGCACGCCTGCTCTTGGCTCCCTCCTCTTCCTGCATCTCTTTTTCCAGAGTGGGAAAATAATAGCATTGTAACAACAGCGGCGTTTCTTAGGGGCCCCCTGTGTGCCAGCTCTGGGCCTCGGCACTTCGGATCAATTCTCCTGATAACTTGGTGGGGTGGGGGCTGTTGGTTCCAGGTGCACAGGTACAGAAACATGTAGGGACCTGTCACAAGTCACATGGCCATGAGGGGCAGAGTCAATTTGCCGCCACTGTGGCTAGCTGAGGTCCGGAGCTCAGGGATCGTCAGAGCCGTGGGTGGAGAAACTAAGGCTTGGAAGGTTCTGTGGGGGCTGACTCCAGGTCCAGAAGCTTGTGTCTGCTCCTGGGGAAGGAAAGACTTCCCTTCTCTTCCCTTCACAGCCTGGTTGGGTTTCCTTTGGAGCCTTGCGAAGAGATGCTATTCATCCTTTGCAGTTGAACAAATGGGGAAACCGAGGCCTGAGAGGTTGCATAGCTTCCCCAAGGTCATTCCCTCACAGCCCATTCAGAGTTCATCTCTCCAAGGTGCCAAGAAGAAATGGGCAGAGCCCTGGCACTTCCTGGATGAATCCAGAAGCCAGGGCCCCAGACTGCACCCCCCCACCCCCACCCAACCTCTCCCAGTGTGTTAAATTCCAGCCTTGGGCTCCAGCCTGGTGAGAAGGACCAGCTGCCCCGTCCCCTGGGTGCAGACCTTGGCTGCCCACTGTCTTCTCTCCTACACAGCAGCAGGGCCCTTTCCCGGCAAGGCCTTCCTTGGCCGGACACTGCCTCCCACCCCAGAAAGGAGAGGACATTATCTTCTTGGCCTTTTGTGCCTCTAAAAATAGTGTTGATCTCCATGGTCCAGCTGGGACGGGGTCCAAGGTCATGGCAGCGAAGGGGCCCAGGGCTGGGAGGTTTTGGGAACCCCAGGGAGAGGATGAGCCAGGCCTCCTGCTGTTCGGGGTCACAGAAGTTCTGGGATTTGGGCCGGTGTCCGAATGTCCTGAAAACCCCTTGGCTGGGAGTTCCACCATGGCCGCACGGGGCCATCCCAGCGCATGGCCGGGAATACAATCAGAGCCGGTGGGCTCAGACCTTTTGCTGCCAGTCGGCACAGGGACCCCTCTTGGACTCGGCTGCTGCCCTCACAGTTGCTCTTTGCCCGAGAGGGACCCCGACCCTACCGCCTGGCTTCCCTTCCTCCCAGCGGGGTTGGTCAGTGACCAGCCTGGTGCACAGTGGGGCTTTCCTGGGTCCTGCTCCTCCCTCACTCTTGCCTTCCACCCACACCGGGCGGGCTTGCAGCATCAGCCAGGGTTTCCAGGCTCCTTGCTTTGTCCCGGGACCTTGAAGCAGCCACGGCTGCCTGTCCGAAGGCTCCCACCAAGGACAGTGGGGCTTCTTGGGGTGGGCAGAACTGAGTGCAGAGGGGAGCTTGCAGGAAACACATGTTCTTGGAAACGTCCCGAAATAGCCCGGGGTGCTCCTCGGTCAATTCCTTTCCCACGGACAGAGACAGGGGCTGTCTTGGACGGATGGAGGCTGTGTGTGTGTGTGTGTGTGTGTGTGTGTGTGTGTGTGTGTGTGTGTGTGTGTGTGTGTTATGTTTTGAAAAGGCCTAGATAAAGGCAGGAAATCATTCCACGCTCCCTCTTCCCACCCGCCTGTTGGTGTTCCAGGCCGGGGCCTGTGACTCACCCCACCGCCCCCTCCGTTCCACTCACTCTTTTCAAATACATGAAATAAATGGGGATCTCTGAGCAGTTTTCCAGACTGCAGGCCCTGTCGGCACATGCCGTAGGGGCTGGTGGGTTGTGCTGAGGTTCAGTATGGCCGGAACGGGGTTGGAGTTTGGGTCTTATCCTCCTACCTCGCCGTCTAAACCTCCCTGCTCCTAAGAGCCGGCCTTGGCTGCCTTTCTGAATTGTCAGCAGGTTATTTTATTTTACTCTGTGTGTGTGTGTGTGTGTGTGTGTGTGTGTGTGTGTGTGTGTGTGTATGCTTAAGAAATAAGGCAGGTGGGCCGGAGTGATAGGACAGCGTTTAGGGCATTTGCCTTGCATGCCAAGACCCAGGTTGGATTGCCCGCACCCCATATGGTCCCCCAAGCACCACCAGGAGTGATTCCTGAGCTCAGAGCCAGGAGTAAGCCCCGAGCATTGCCAGGTGTGACCCAAAAAGCCAAAAAAGGAAAAAGAAAAAAAAAAGAAATAAGGCAGGAGGGGGTAGGGGATGGGAGAGATGGCAAACAGGGTTCACGCCTCTGCTTTTTTGTTTGTTTGGATTTGGGGCCACACCCTGCGGTGCTTGAGGCTCATTCCCAGTGCTGTGCCAGGGCTTGAACCCTGGTTGGCCGCCGTGTGCAAGCCAAGCGCCCTGCCCACTGTACTATCTCTCTGGCCCTGCCTGGCTCTGCTTTGCCGGTGGGTGGGTGTGTGTGTGTGGGGGGGGGGGGGTGAGCGTGCTCAGCTTGATCTCTGGCCCTATATGATCCATCAAGCCCTACCGGGAGCAGTCCCAAGCACTGAACTAGTTTGTCCCTGACCACGACTGGGTGTGAGCCCAAAGTCAAAAGTAAAGGGAAAAGGGAAGAAAAGGAGCAGGGGTCAGGTTGGGTGACCAGGCACATCTCAGCATAGAAGCCAAGAAAGGCCCCAGCCCAGGGAGTATCATCCCTGGCTTTGAAGGTATTGGGGACCAGCAGCCTCCTGTCCCCCAGTTGGCGCCAGTCTGGGAGAGGGCTTCCAGAGCCTGGGCCATGGCTCAGTCTCCACTAAGAATTTATTCACTCTCCCATGCGTCCACCCATTCACTCATTCCTTCAGTAGACAGGCCTTGAGGGTCTACTGTGAACCAGGCCTCTCTGGTAACCTGGGAGGGGGGCAGGGAGAAGGGCTCCCTCACCCCGGGGAGGCAGCTCTCTGCCCTGGCCCTCTGGGTACCCACACACCCTGCTGCATCTTCAACCATGTGCCGACGCTGGATAGAGCAGACTCCCGGGCTGCCATCGCAGGTCCTAGAGCTGGGCCCAAGGTTCTGCCTTTTCAGTCCTGGTGGTCCCGGTGCCTATGGTCCAGCCTCTGCCACCCTCCAGGTGTGGGGGAACCGTGCTGCTTTCTCCACATCCCCACCTGGGAGATAGGAAGTCCTTCCAGATGCCCGACCTTTGCCCTTCCCGATGCTGCACGAGTCCCTCCCAGGCCCGTGGCCCCTCCCCACGCACCTGGGGCCGCCTTCCCTGTGGGAAAGTCATGGCTCCGGAATTGCCAAGCGGAGCCTGGTACCGTATAATTAGCTCCATTTACTGCCAGGAGACGGCCCGTAAAAACCTGGGTGTTTTCATGGGTTTGGGCTGGTGGGTGAGGACAGTGGAGGAGAGAACTCCCAGTGTGAGCAATAAACATCCTGCTCCAGGGCTCCCAGGAGCATAAGTGGTTTTATGAGGGATGGAGGGGCACGGCAGGGGCGGCAGGGAGGGCTCCTGGGCACCTCTTTCCTTCTGCTGCCACTTCGGGGGGCTCCACCCTCCAGGGGTGCTAGAATCCCGCTTTGCAGGAGAGGAAACAGATGCCTCAAGGGAAAGCCCCCGACTCGGTTGACTGAGTCAATTAATGGGGGGACCCAAGAGCTCCTTCTATTAGAAACCAGCAAAATCCTTGATGGGATCATAGCAAGAATTTCCTGGGGTTGGAACAGCAACAGTACAGCCGGTAGGCGTTTGAGGTGCACGCAGCTGACCTGGGTTTGTTCCCCAGCATCTCATAGGGGCCCCTGAAAACTGCTAAGTGTCATTCCTGAGCTTCTCTGGGTGTGGCACAGAAACCAACAAACAAAAAAATTCCTGGAGTCGAGGAGATACTCTGGACTGGAGCATGTACTTTGCATGCCAGAGCCCCTAGGTTTAATACCCAGGACCTCATGGTCCCTTGAGCACCCTGGGGAGTGAGCACCGAACTGGGGATGGTTCCCAAGCACTGCTGGGTCTGTCCCCCAAACACCAAAGTGTTCCCGAGTCTCTCCTCAGTGAGCAGAGGGAGTGGGGGTGAAGTAAGGTGATGACTCGGGAGAGATGTTGGGTGGAGACATTTAAGCAACACCTCTGCACCCAGGCCCCTGGGAATGACGGTGCTTCTGGGGAAGGGAGCAGGTGTCAACTGAGGACATTGGGGATATGTAAAGGCCTTGGGGACATTTGTCACAGTCCGTCTAATTTCCAGCTCTTGCTATGGGGAGGAGGCACCTTGGGCAAGTCACTTCGCCTCAGTGTCCTCGTCTGTAGGCTAGAGGTGTGGAAACAGGACCACCTGCCTCAAAGATAATCATGCAGGGGCTGGAGTGAGAGTAGGGCGAGTAGGATGCTTGTATTGCACGTGGATAACCTGAATTCGATCCCTGACACACCCCCTATGATCCCCTTGAGCCCCGCTAGGAGTGATCCCTGAGCACAGCTGGGTGTGCCCACACACACCAAAAAAAATAAAAAAGGAAAAAAATAATAAAGCAACAAAGATAATCGTGCAGGTTTGACTTAGTGGGAGCATCTGTTGTGTTCTTAACGTGGCCGATGGCTTTCCAGATGTATGCGGTTCCTCCTGGGAGGCCTTGCTCCCCCCCCCCCCCCCCCCCCCCCCCCGCCAGCCTCCTTCCCTCCATGTTGCCCTGCCTCCACCTCGGGCCAGGCCCCTCATGCTTACTCTCCTTGTCCACCCGCAGAGACATCAAGAGGATCGGGGTGCGGCTGCCCGGCCACCAGAAACGCATCGCCTACAGCCTGCTGACACTCAAGGACCAGGTGAACACAGTGGGGATCCCCATCTGAGCCCTGGCAAGGCCTCGAAACCCCGTCGGCCAAGAATACTTGAAGAAGCGGCCTGGCTTCCCTGTCCACTCTGAGCTGGGCCACCACCAGGGACCTTATTTATTTCTAGTTGTTTTTACTGGTGCCACTCCGAGACCTCGGCTGGGGCCGTGGACAATGCTTAGGTCGGAACTGAGATGTTCAGGGACCCTGGACTGGGAGAATCTTCAGCTGCGGAGGATGGACAGACAGCCAAGCACTTAGCAGGCACCGCCGTGTTCCCAGCATCCCTTGGGGCAGGAGCTCTGCCAAAGCCTTCGGACATACCAAACATTTCCCACTGGACTTTCTCTTCGCCGCCTTGGGGGACGGGGGTGTTAGCCTGAGGGCTTATGAACAGGACACCTCCGGCCCCATCCCCTCACCTCAGAGGATAGATAGCAAATTCAGCAGCGTGAAGCCCAAACTGGTTCCCCCGCCATCTAGTGCCTTCCTCAGCCCCCCCAGGCCCCGTCCTCAGCCCCAAGGGGCCAAACTCCTGCTCCCCAGGCCCCTCACAGGCTGCTTGGTTGTGTTGAGGTTTTTTTTTTAAAAAATATATATATATAGATATATATTTTTTGTACTTTGTGGAGAGAATGTGTGTGTGGCAGGGGGCTCCAGCCGGGGCTGGGGACAGCCAAGGAGGGCCTGTATCAGACATTCCCTGGGCTGGGGTTGGTGCTGGCAGGATTATCTGCCTCTTCCCCAGTCCATCCGCTCTCTCTCACCTCTTTAGACAACATTCACTACTCTGTCAGTGTTAATGACTTTGTTTTGTTGGGTATTTTTTTTTGGAACCTTAATTTATTATTATTTTTTTTTATATTTATTGTTAGGAAATGACTTGTTTCTGCTCTAAAATAAAATTGCAGATGGTTAAAACTGATCTCGTGTTCTCTTTGGAGTGGCAGAGGCCTTCTGCGTCGGAAGTGGGGGACGAAGGGGTTCCCCTACCCCCCATGTTTAAAGAGTTTCTTCTGTAAGGCCCAGGGAGTGTAACCCTGGGAGCAGGGGTGGGTGGGAGGTGGGCAGGGGGCCAGAAAAGTGGGAGCCCCACCTCCCTGCAGGCCTGTCCGTCATCTTTGATCTTCAGGCTTCTGAGTAGCCCTGCCCTCCTACACATCCCCACAGAGCTGTTGTAAGATTCTTCGACCATCCTCGGAGGACTCTAAGGTTTACTGAAGCTTTGACAAGCGTTGTCTTGCTGGAGCCTTAGCACGCCCATTTCACGGAAGAGGAAGACCGAGGCCAGACCCAGGGACCAGGCTTGCCCAAGGCCACACAGCCAGTTAAAGGCAGAAGCCAGCCTTGCAAGCAGGGTGGGGAAGCCCAGTGAGGTGTTTTTCTTACAGATGAGGAGACAGAGCCTCAGAGATGTGCAGCGACTTGTCCTAAGTCACACAGAAGGAAGTCGCCGAGGATGGGATGGGGGAAACCCGAGTCCACACTTCAAACTCTGATCCTTCTCTGCTAATAGCAGGTTGCTGCCCGGCGTGCCGGGGCTTGTCCAGAGCGGGACTTAGGGAGGTGTTGGGCGCAGGTGGCCGGGTGAGTGAGGCTGATCCAGGCCACGGGAGAGGGCTTCCTGGAGCTCAGACTTCAGGGACGGAGAGGAACAGTCCGGAGCAGCTGTGGGAGAGGACGATGCAGGCAGGGTTGATGCAGAGGCATGAAATCGGAAGGTTGTGCAAGGGACCACAAGCAATTTGGTGTTATTAGGGCGTGATCCGTGCCGAAGAGGCTCCAGGGCCTCGTCAGGCAGGGCCAGGAGAGTGATATTAAGTTTCAGGCAATGGGGAACCACTGAAGGTTGAAAGTAGGGTCAGAGTAATTTTTTGAGCGGGGGGGAGAGGAGGACTTGGGGCCACACCTGGCAGTGCTTAGGGCTGACTCTTGGCTCTGCACTCAGAGATCATTCCTGGAGGGAGTCCAGGGACTGTTTGTGGTGCCTGAGACCAAACACAGGTTGGCTGCATGCAAGGCAGACCTTATCCACCGTATATCTCTCCAACCTCTGATTATTATTTTGGTTTGGGGGCCACATCTGGTTGGTGCTCAGGGATTGCTCCTGGCAGGTTCAGGGGACCATATGGGACGCTGGGTATTGAACCCAGGTCAGCTGTGTGCAAGGCAAACACCCTTTTATTATTGCTCTGGCCCCTCCAACCTCTGATTCTTCTTTTTTTTATATATATATATTTTTGGGTCACACCTGGCGATGCACAGGGGATACTCCTGGCTCTGCACTCAGGAATTACTCCTGGTGGTGCTTGGGGGATCATATGGGATGCTGGGAATGGACCCCGGGTCAGCTGCGTGCAAGGTAAACACCCTACTCGCTGTGCTATTGCTCCAGCCCCCCTTTAATTATTTTTGAGGGCGTGATCCTGAGCCATGCTTAGGGAGCCTATGGGCTGCTCAATGATCCTCAACCAGCCAACTGTACCATCAGCCAAGAAGGTGAAGCTGTTCTTGGCTCAGAGCCCACCAAGACTATGCTGGTGTGCTGAGGGTGCCATGAGGTCTGGGGGTTGAGTCTGGTCAGGCAAAGTTTGCACCCCTGAGATCTGACCCCAGAGGCATGATTCTTATAAACCAAACAGAAGGCACCGGTAGGCTCAAAACTCAAGACTTGACTCTCAGCTTAGAGCTTGGACAGAGGGGGGGAATTGGGATGGGAGGAGTTCTGCCCAAGTGGGAGGGTACTCAGCCTGCCTTGGCCATGCAAGGCCAGTCTACCGGGCAGGGAAGCCCCTTCCTACAGAAGTGTCAGCTATAAGTGCCAGCACTCCACCCTTTTTAGTACTTGTGTGCGCACTGGGACTGGACCTGGCTGGATCAGAGTCTTCCTGGTCTGCTGGGCAGCTGGACCTGGTGATGGAGCCACGCCTTTCTACAACTATTCCTGTGGCCACCGTCCTCTGTGATGGGTTCCAGCCACCCCCCATGGACAGAGTTGTCGGTTCAGAGGGGAACAAGCTGAAGATCCTGCGGCAGTCTGGGGGACGGGTGGCCCCTGAGGCTAGGCCTGAGCCCCCTCCCAAAATAGGTCAGCACCTCCTGTCCCATATCCTCATTGCCATGAACACAGGAAGTAGCCCAGCATCTTGGGAAGACAGCCTCAGGGATTCTCTTGTACAGGCCTGAAGGATATGAGGCTGCACAGGCCCGAGCTCAGAGGCTCCGGGGCAGCTGTGGGACCTTCCCGTGGAGCCCGTGATTGGAAAGAGGAAACCTGCAGGCCAGCTCAGTCCCCGCCACTGGTGCTTCTCAAACAATTCCCAGTTGTGACCCCTGCTGACCTTGTTTTCTTCCTGCAGCCCGCATGCTACCAATTGGCCCTCTAGTCTCATGTCATGGCTCTCTATGCACATGATTTTCACCTGAGGCCCCCTTGAAGTATCATGGGGCCCAAGTGGGGTCATATAACCTAAGTTGAGAAATACTGTCCCAGAATGCCTGGAAGCAGGCCCCCCACCCTCAGTTTGCACTTTGCAGAGCTCTTGCAATCCCTTGGGACTGAAGTGATAGCACTGCGGGTAGGGTGTTTGCCTTGCATGCGGCCAACTCAGGTTCGGTTCCCACCATCCCATACGGTCCCCTGAGCACCACCAGGGATAATTCCTGAGTGCAGAGCCAGAAGTGACCCCTGTGCATCACCAGGTGTGACCCCCCCCAAAAAAAAAACCCATAAAAAAAGAGCTCTTGCAGTCCCATCTCTTTCCAAAGTGCCATTCTCCAATCAAGGGAAGGCATCATTGCTGTAGGCTGGGAAAATTCAAGGTGGTTCTGGAGTTCTGGAGTATCTTTACAGAGCTAGGGTGGAAGGAGATGCTCAAAAAATAGAGATGGGACCAACCAGAAATCAACCCTGTTGGCCAAACCTAGATCATGTTGAGCAACATGACCCATGGCAGAAATAGATTATAACTCGAAGTTTCTCAGAAATATGTCCACATGAGGGCCAGGGACAGTCAGGGCTAAAACGCTCCCCTCCTGTGCAACCAATCTGAATCCACCTCTAAGAGTGGCTCTTCAGCGCCACCGGGTGTGACCTCCAAATCCCAAAGCAAAAGACAAGTATCCATGAGTCCATAGTGACATAAATATGACTGAAAGGATCAAGAAATGGAAACAATGCATATCTTCCATCCAGAATTCCAAATCACTCATGCAGCCCACAACACTCTTCCAATAGATGGAACTTCATCCCCCGTCCCCGCCATCCCCACCCCCTCGGCACCCTCGGAGTGTGGACGGGCCCAAGTGGAAGCTTTCTAAAGAAAGGAAGAATAGAAAGGGTTAAGGAGACAAGAAGAGAAGATGTTGGACAGTGCAGAAACCTGGCAAACATGACCGTAACCAAGTTAGCACCGTCAGTGAAAATACAAACAAACCAATCCAGAGCAGCAAGAATATCGGCTTGAACTGAAGATCGGGTATCAGCAAACACTTATGCAGGGCTTACTGGGTGCCACCCACGGCTCGAAGTGGTTTGCCTGTGCTTACTCAGTCTGTTCAACAGCTCTGCAGGGTGCACGGTGCATAGCATCGAGAGTCCATTTCACAGATCAGAATATAGAAGCACAGGCAGCCTAAGTCACTCTCATGCACATGGGGGGTGGGGTGGGGGGCGGCATGGGGCTCAGGTGGTACAGAGCCTGTGCCCTTAACACATGCCCCATGGAACTCCTGATAAAGTGATTTTTCCATGGGGGGGGGGGCACTCCCAGTACCAAGACAAGACTTTCTCAGTATTCTGAGGCATAAGAGACAGGACAGGGGCCAGAGAAATAGTACAACAGGTAGGGTGCTGGCCTTGCAAGTGGCAGACCTGGGTTTTATCCCTGGCACCCTATATGGTCTCCCAAGCCCTGCCAGGTGTCATTCCTGAGCACAGAGCCAGGAGTCAACCCCAACACCACTGCCTCCCCCTACTCCTCCAAAGACAATACAAAACAACAGCCAAGACTTTCTCGACCAGGGGCTCCTCTCTAGACAAGGGGTGAAAAGTCTCAGTTCTGAAAAAATTGATGCCCCATAACCTGCCCAAAGTCCTCATGTTGCCGTGTCTCCCCCACCCCTCCAGCACCCAGAGTGTGCAGGAAAGAGCATGGGTGTGTGTATGGGCGGGGTGCGGGGGGCTTTACTGCCTTACTGTGCCCCTAGCACACAGTTCCTGTTCTGTGCTCACAGACACTGGGCCATCTGAGAGTAAGGCATCTACCCGTCCCCATGGTGCTTTCCACGTGCCAACGCAGCAGCACCCAGCCTAAGAGGGAAAGGATCAAGGTGCTACCATTGGAGCCAGAGGCCGGAAGGTTCTGGTGGGTGTCATCAGAGCTGAGGTGGGAATCCACAGGTCAGGGAGAGAGAAGTATTCCCAGAAAAGCTTGTCCCTGCCCACTCCAGGTCTCTGTGGACTAGAGTCTCCTGTCCAATCCAGTCAGCCCATTTTCTGAAACATGCACCCCTCAATGGCAGCACCCCCCATCCCTGGCGTGGGCAACCCTGCAGTACTGTCCGGTTATCCCCATGCCAAACAGAACCCTCAACTCAGCAGTGAACTGCCAGCACAGCCCTCCAGGCCTCCCTCTGACACCCCCAACAGAGGGAGGCACCCAGTCGAGGCAGCAGTTGTGGGGTGCTGAGCAGGTGTTTCCCTCCCTCCCTTCCTAATGGTCCAGTCTGGATGGCAGTTAAAACGCTATTGCCAGGCCTGGTCCTGGGATCCCCTCACTCATTAACAAACGCTGTCAGAATAGGGGCACTCCCACCCCTTCTCCTTGTGCCCCCCACTCCTCCACTCCCTGGGACCCAGAGCCAAGGCTGGGACCTGAAACAGCCTGAAGCTGGGAGAATCAACAGTGACCCACT